CCTCATGGTTCTTCCTTTGCAAGACTAAGCGCTCGGCCAACACCGGATCCCAACGGTAGTACCCCAACGCTAACTCTAAGTCGACCTCTTCGTTTGTAGCAGTCTCGCGGGCCACCTCATCGGAGACCGTTCTGCTGCTGCTCACCGTCGCTTGTTCCGCCATTTTCGGACCCGACATAATCTTGAGAAGTAAAAGCAAAGTACTGGAAATAAAAAAGGAAATAGATAGAAGAACTCACCACCGAGAAACGATTGAGTTGTCAAAGCACGGGTCGTCGGGAATCAGAAAAACAGAGGGGTGAAGGTTAAGAAGATATAGCGAAAGATTGAGAAAGCAAGATGAATGTCTCCGAGAAAAAGGGAAGTAGTGTATTTATATGAGAGTCTTTATGACCGTTGGGGGCGAATCGACGTAAAAAACTGTAATGCCCCATTTTATTTTAAAGAGTTTACCGAATTATTTATAAAAATCAGAGTAAATTTTTCGCAAAATACCAATTTAAAACTTCAAACGTTAAAGGGCTCTACTTAACTACTAACAACAAATAAACAAAGGTACAAACACAAAAGGAACCTACACATGCCTACAAACGATCATAAATAATCCAACCAGGTTATAATAAGTTCCAAAACTCAACCAAGAGATTCGACATGATCCAATGATCCAATCAACATGTTCGAAATAGTTTAAGCGGAAGCATCACTATCCATAAATAACAATCCAACATAAGTAAATAAAACGGAAGCAAAGACATGATGATCCAATGACCACCACTTGCTCGTCTCTCATTGCCGCCGCCAACATTGCTCAACCTAAAGATAGGAAGAAGAAACAAGAGGACAAACCAACAATGGGGGTGAGCAAATCCACTATGCTCACCAATATCGCATAAGTCTATCTCGCGTAAAGATCCAAAACCATAAATAGAGTATGCATAGAATCCAGGTCTAACTCCCTATACGGCCCTATCGCGAACCTCCTATGTACATACAACGACCTTCCGATCAGACATCGGAAAGAAGTAACCGGAAACATTCCCACCCCGGCTCGACACGGGCTAAGGGATCCTTTCCAGGAGACAGTCGAGATGTTTTTCCCCAACACACGGGCTAGGGTGTCCTCCTCCCGGATAAGACGGGCAGGTGACCTCACACTGCTTATGCATTCATCAAAGGCACTAAAGGCGAGACGCCCCTGGCGGTGTAACACACTAGACTAGAGTTCTCAGGCATACTAAAGTTATTGAGACGAACATTTATACGAAATAACGAAATGCGATAATTATAGATACACAAATTGTACCCACATGAAACTGCAGAGGATGATGGTGAATGCACGCACAAATAAGGGAAAGCACTCGACTCTACTTAATCTACAAATTAGGATTTTTATTATTATTAAGGGCGGTGAAGACACACAAAGACAAGAAAGGAAAATTAGACACAAAGAAATAAGACCAACAAGGCAATTAAGACAATTAGAAGCAAATAATGTATATAAGTTAACATATAGAAAGCACATAACACTTCATAAAAACGACACGAGATCAATACAAAACAAGGCAAAAAGGGTCACATATATGCTTTACTGCTTATAAACTGAAACTTTAAATATTGAAACTGAACATGATGGCAACAAGGTTAACATAACTCAAAAGCATGCTCAAAGATAATGCTAAATATCAAAGCATAACATGCTCTTACTTTCTCTTCTCCAACCTAAACATGCCAACCACCAATTAAGCTGCAACTTAAGCACATTAGACACTTCATAAATTCATGTTCAACCTCATGAAAATTATTGTGAAACCAAACAACTAAATGACCACATTAAAGATGAAATTCTAATTGCACTGCAAATAAATTGTGGTCATTGCCTAACGTAATAATTGCTAAATTACATACTCCACATCAAAATAGATCAAATTGAACATGATAATTATGAATTCTGAGACAAAACATAAGAATGAATTTGGAACTGAATCCACACAAATCAAGATATACATATATATTTTGGAAATGAACACAACAAACCAACTCAATTTTGTGCAGCAGTCTGATGGACACATGAATTTGGAGGCTCGAAATTACTTTCTTCTCTCAAGCTCAGGAACAATCATTCAAGCCACAAAATAATTGAAAAACTCTATGTCTTAAGCATGTTCTCAGCGTGATAAGTACAAGACAAAACCTCAGCAATTAGCACGGAAAATCCACGGCAGACACATCACACAAAGTCTCCCTTTCTCTTTAAACATAAACATGTATACCACAAAACTAAGCATTTTAAACCCCAGAATCACGGCCAAAAGAAGGGCTAAAAGCTAAGCCAAATTACCGTGACAATAAGAAAGAAATGGGGCTCGATTTGGACGGATGCTTGCCCTCAGTCGCTGCTCGTTTAGCCAGAAAAGAATCCCTGCTCGTTGAAAAGGAAGCCGACCGCTGCTGCTCGTGAGTCTTCGGCTGCCCGCTGCCGGACGACGGGGCTGCTGCTGCTCGAAAAAGAAGTCGACGGTGAAACCCGTCGGAATGGGCCACCTCTGTCCGCTTGCCACTGTGGGATTACCGACGAAGGGTGACGAGAACTAAGGCGCGACGGACGAACCGACGGGACCTGCTGCTCGTCGGAACCAAAATTCAGCCGCTGGGAAATAGAGCTTGGGTCGCCGATAGCTAAAATCACCGGATGATGATCAGGGCTCGCGAAGGTCGCAGCCCCGTCGGAAGTCGAGAGTCGTCGGTGAAAGGTGGCGATTTGTGGTGGCTGAACAGCGTGACGGGGCGGACGCCGGCGGACAGAGCTCGGCCTGCTGGTGATGGCTAATCAACGGACCGCTGGAGGTTGCCGACGAAGGGCCTGACAGTTCACGGTGGCCGCAATGGTTGAGGAGAGGCTGCGGTCTCGATCACGGGTGGCTCCCGGCGGGCTGCATGCTCGCGGGTGACGCGCGGTGGCGGGGCGATGACGGCGCGCAACAACGATGGCGCTGGGGGTGTCTTCACGTTCGGAGGTGGCCGACGTCTCGCGGAGTTGCTGGCAGCGAGGGAGGTGATGGTGCACGACTGTGGTTAGTTGCAGCAGGTCGTGAGTGGCCTTCGGTGTTGCCGGTGGAAGTCGCGAGCTGGGTGGCGTGTGCGGCAGCGGGGGTACCGGCGATAGGGGAGTTATGTGTTAGGAAATATTTTATTTCCTAATGTATAATCTACAGTGATTTTTTTTTTAGCCATGTTTAAATGGTCAACACAAATTTTAGCCATATTTTGCAAAAAAACATCTTTTTTAGCCATTTTGGCACTTAAAAAGACTAAAATACCCTTACTACCTATTTTTATATAAAAAAATTAATAAAAAATCGTTGATTTCTAGGATCCAGAAATCGAATTCTGGGCCCAGAAATCGATTTCTGGTCCCGGAAATTGATTTCTGGTCCAGAAATCCTAGAAATCCAATAAATGATTTCTGGATTAAGAAATCAATTTCTGGGTCGAGAAATCGATTTCTGGTCCCGGAAATTGATTTCTGGTCTAGAAATCCAAGAAATCCAAGAAAAGATTTATGGATAAAGAAATCGATTTATGGGTCCAGAAATCGATTTATGGGTCCAGAAATCGATTTCTGGTCCAGAAATCCTAAAAATCCAAGAAATGATTTATACCAAGAAATTGAATTATGGGTTTAGAAATCGTTTTTGGTCCCAGAAATCCCAAAAATCCTAAAAAAATTTTATGGGGCCGAAAATCGATCTTTGGTCCAGAAATCGTTTCTGTCCCAGAAATCTCAAAAATCCTAGGAATCCATTTCTGGATCCAGAAATCGATTTCTGGACTCAGAAATCCCAGAACTCCCAAAAACGATTTTTGGAATCATTTTTAGATCCTATAATGATTTCTGGTACAAAAAAATTGATCCCAAAAATCGTTTTTGGTTCAAATTTTATTCGTTTTATTATATACGACATTGTATCATATATAAGACATGTTTTTTTCACATTGTTTGTTACTAAAATACTTTTGTATTTTTTTTATAGATGTCGTGTGAAAAAAGCTCGAATTGTGCATAACGAATTTTCGAATGAGAATGTCTATAAAAACTGACATTCAAAGATGAACTTTGAGTTATGCGATCGTGTAGGAACTACTCGAATTTGAGTTTATTTTTAATTTGCAAGCGATGTGTATGTGTTTTGAAGCCTTCGTTGCATCGTTCGAGAGTTTCGTAGAAGATATTTTTCGTCTGAAGTTCGCGTGGGACCTCATGAACACAGACTAAAGCTCATTTGTCAGCAAACACAAAAAACAAATCCACAATAAAATGAAGTAGCAATACACACAATCATCTGTTGTTTATACTACTGTTGTTTATACTATGGTGTTTACATACTCTTGACCAAAAAATTCCCTTTGTACAAGCTAACAAAAACACCTAATTCACATCACAACATCTTTATAATCTTTTGTATACGAACAAAGCATAAAAAATTGTATAATAGTCTACATATCATCACGTGATTTTGCACCGGTTAGAACCACCAATGCTGCTCGCTTCTGTCTGGACAACACTGTCACTCGACTTGCACGAGGAGTTACTGTCAGTAGGTACAACCAAGCCCGGAACAACCAAATCGGGCCCACCAGACACGGACGAAAGAAAATCTTCGTCATCTTATGAAGATTTCCTAGTTAGCGTGAAAACAAGTATTTTCGTGGAGGAGAATCATCGGTAAAAGAGGGTCTTCTTCTAAGGTTGTCTTCTTCAAGTATTTTTGCTTCAGGTGGAGGTTCTACAACCTGCTTTAATGATGAAAATAAGGCTTAGCATTCAAAAAAGGCTTATCATGAGAAAATTTGATTCTCGGCCAAGAAGCTCACAAAGATCAACTACAACGCAATGCCAAGAAGCTCACAAAGATCCAACTTAAAAGGCTTACTACATGTCATGCTTAATATTCTCACATCCATATACTTGTATAAAATTAGAACCATAAGCTTTACCCTTGAAGTAGGCAGACAACCTTTCCTCACATATAATCACATAACCTTACCATCAACCCGAAAAGGAGAAAAGCCAATGCATTTGTAGTGCACCTATACGCGCGTAAGCATGCAATGTTAATTAAGCCAGCGGTGCACACTAAAGCATTAATAAACGGGAAAAGGGAAAAACGCTTTGATTTTAGTTTTAGGATAAAAGGATATTTTAGCAGAACATTGAGATTCTTTTTTCCCTTTTTACCTCAATTAGCCAGTCGATAAGGATCCCCCGCATTCTCTCATTGATGTCAGATTGATGTGCCATGTAATTTGGTGGAACACAACTTGTTCTTTGTAATTACAAGTCACACAACCTAGAACCAGAAAAGAATGTGGAAATATATATAAAGGGTTAGTATATATGTAACTTTAAAACTGCAAAGACTAAACCAAAAAAATTGGTCAGTATCCTCCTCTTATATTCACATACAACATACAAAAGCACACGTATAGGGCTCAGTTTTTAAGGGGAAAAAAATAACTTTGGCCACCTAGAAGCTGAAGATTGGCTTTAAAAAAAACAAATTATTTTTTATTCAGTGTTTTGTACACTTTCAATAGTAAACATAATAGGTATCAGCCTCAAATGAGATTCAATCATTCGAACTTCACAGGCAAAATGGAGAGAAATGATTCTCACCTCAGCTTTTACATAATTATCATGTATGTCATCAATGTACTCAGTGACCGCAAGCACGTTTTTCCTATCGACACAATCTATATCAACCACAGGCTCACCATCCCCATTAATCTCCTCCATTTCCACTTCCACATCCTATGAATCAAATTTAGCAACATAAACAAATGCGCATATTTTAATAAACATCCCAAGATACATAATATATCACATAATCTGAATATACCATGCTGTCGATTTCCTCCAGCATAGCTTCTGTATGCTGCACGAACATGGGCACGTCATGTTCGTCCATGGTTTTGTGATCCTCTTCATCTATTGAGTCTATAATAATACAGTGCTCCGGACAGTTTGTGCTCGAATTTGATTGCACCAGTGGCTTTACTTTCTACACCAACACGAAGATCAATTATTTCTTAATTGTTTATTGTTTAGGCATTACAAAATAACCTAACTGTAACAACATTAGCATAATTAATTAATGCCCAAAAAAGAGCAAACAATGCTTTTCATTAGAACTCTGGAAAATTCTTGATTTAAGGTCTAAATTTCTTCTGCCACACTTATCTACATATGAAACCATTTTCAAAATATCAGATGATTTATTTGCAACAAGAAATATATATACCTCAAGTGATGGATGATGCTCTTTGACAGCCACTTGGGCAGCAAACCTCCTGAAATTCACCCAAAAAATAAAAATAAAATCAAGAAAGACAGAAAAACAATAAAAGTAAACAAACAGATCTGATTTGCAAACCTAGTGACAACACGGTGCACAGGAACATGATTCTTACTACAGGCGTCGTTTTTCCTGAGACAATAATTAAGAATTCGATATGACTAAGCAATTAAGACCGAATTAATAAAGGCAAAACATAAAACACAAGAATACAGACAATCATCTACATTAATTTTACGAACTCTTTTAGAGCCCCTCGTTTTACAACAGCGCGAGGGTGAGGGGGAACTCCAGTTATGTTCGCATTAACTGCACTTAGTGCCCTTCTATTCTTCCCAATATATTAGCCTCCTTGCACCAAACCCCCTAAGCCCTAAACCCTAAATCAGTGAAGAAAAACATAATCAACTCAATCCTAATCAAAACCCTAATTCGATACCTTCCCATTTCAACTAAAAAACATCATTCAATTAATGAAGAAAAAAGAAGATGAAAAACCCTAATCAAGCCCTAAACAACTAAACAACTGGAACTTTTTAAGCGATGAGAGGGTGAGGAAGCCGGCGGAGCAGGGCAGGTGCGTCGGAACAGTGCAGGTGCGTCGGAGCAGTGCAGGTGTGTCGGGTGCGAAGAGGAGCAACGACAGTGCACGAGTCGGGTGAGGAGCAGCGCGGTGCGTCTGGCGAAGATAGGAGCAGCGCGGATGCGTGAGTTGCCGCAGAGGAGAGGAGCATCGGTCGCCGGAGAGGAGAGGAGCAGTGGTCGCCGGAGAGGAGAGAAAAATTGCACCGAAGAGAGCGTGAAAATTTGGGGAGAAAATTTTGGGGGAATGATAAAATGAAATTTGAGTCGACACAAATCTGAAATGAAAGAAAAAAATTGAATTGAAAATTTGAAGTTAGGGGTAATTCAGTAACAACACATGCTAAAATGGCTAAAAAAGATATTTTTTATAATGGTGGCTAAAATTTGGGTCATGGAAACTTGTTTGGCTATTTAATGATATTAACACTATAATCTAATTATGGGCAACATATTATATACAATTATATTATATTAGCTATTAAATTAATGGATTCAATTAAGTGATCTAAATTAAGTAGAGTTCATGGACTACATAAATTGATATGGACTTAATGAGGGGATACCTAATATTACTAGGGTTAGGTGATAATGGGTGGCCTACCCTATTAGTATATATAGACCCTCTTGGTTATGGTCCCCAATACACTAAATCAAACACAGTTTTCTTTTCTCCCCATCTGAAAGAAGACGACGGTCCCATCTGAGGAATAAGGAGATTTAGTTGAGGAAGACCATAATACTAGTTGATTCAAATAATCAATCGAGTTCGTGTTCCGCAAAAGAAACTCAATATCAGGTATTTCTAATAATCTTTCAGATCTAGAGCGATGTTGATTTTCCTGGAATTAAAGCATGTTCTAGGATAATTGTTATTGAATTTATATTATGTGATGATAAATTCCTACAAGTGGTATCAGAGCGGTCATCGACTGCCAGATCTGGATTATTTGTATATCTTTATATATACTTTGTTGTTCTGATTTATTGAATTAAAGTAAAAGTTTGTGTTTGATTTGAATCTTACATCAGCATTCATGTCATGTTTTTGTTTAATTCGGCGTGTTTTTTTTTTTTTTCACGGAAGATTTATGAATTATCTGATGTTTTCTGTTCGCGAATTTCAATTCAGAATGGTTGAGTTTTTTGAAAAATAAAATTCATAAGCGTGGGCATTTGTGTTGCTACTGCCAATTGTGCAATTCATTGTTGAGAAGACATTCATAATCATTACACAAATAAAAAAAAAAAAAAAAAAAATCCTGGGCAAGTTTATGTATGTTGCTTTCATGGATTAATTTTGGGCCACACTTTTACATTACTTGTGAGTCAGTTTAGTAATTTAACAATTCACTTTAGTAATTGAAGTTGAGTTTATTGCTAAATTGTTTGATATGGTAATATATGTCTTTACTAGATGATGCTATGTTGTTGAATGTTTTAAAAGGATGAAAGTCCAAAATTGTTTTCTTGGACTTGATTAAATAAAAATCTAATTCGGTTTATAGGCTTTTATTTGAATTGAATTGGGGAGACTATTATGTCGTTAATTAAGCTAAATAATATTATGTTGTTTTGCTCAATTAGTCTGGTAATTTTTAATTTAATCAATCAAAATATCATGCTGCCATAGCAGCCTCTGTGTGTAGAGAGCGATTTTATTAAAATTACATAGATGTCGTGTGTTATTATTTATGCGTTCTGTGATCAGCCCATAGGTAGACACAGTTTGGCCAAATAATTACACACATGTGATGATAAGTATGTGATAATTTTACGGTATTTTCATGTGAACATTAGTCGGTCCATAGATAGACTTTTGTTTGACAGAACTTATTATCAATGCTTGATTGTTACACCAAGATTACCACTGCAGTTAATTTTCTGTCCATAAACGAGATTAATGTTGCGCTAGGTGTCTTGAGATGGGTCCCCAATTTGTATTAATTGTTCATGCGTAATTTATTTTATGTTATGGAATTTTGTGAGTATGCTTATATTGTTCTATATTTTTTTAGTTGCTACAGCTCCAAATGTTTCTGCTCAAATTAACAACATCCCAATGCTCAACGGGACGAATTTTAAGAATTGGAAAGAAACCGTAGAAATTGTTCTCGGTTGTATGGATTTGGATTTGGCACTTCGGTCTGCGCGCCCTACTGCTACGGCTGAAAACCCGAATGAGGTTAAAATTGAAAAATGGGATCGCTCTAACCGAATGTGCATGATGATAATGAAGCGCTCCATTCCGGAAGCGTTTCGGGGCTCTATTGCTGAAAGCGAGAGTGCCAAACTGTTCCTTGAGGCTGTTGAACAATACTTTGCCAAAAATGAAAAAGCGGAGACGAGTAGTCTTTTGGCTAAACTCGTTTCCATTAGGTACAAAGGGAAAGGGAACATAAGGGAGTACATTATGGAAATGTCCAATCTCGCATCAAAACTTAAGGCACTAAAGTTAGAGCTTTCTGAGGAATTGCTCGTGCACTTGGTTTTGATCTCTCTCCCTGCACACTTTGGGCAATTCAAAGTGAGTTATAACACTCAAAAGGACAAATGGTCCCTTAATGAGCTTATATCTCACTGTGTGCAAGAGGAAGAGAGAGTGCAGAGAGACAGGGTTGAAAGTGCTCATTTGGCCTCGAATGCTCAAAGCAAGAAGAGAAAGGGACCTAAGGTCACTGCGGTTGTTGCTTCCACGCAGAAGAAGCAAAGATAGAACCTGAGGAATCGACATGCTACTTCTGCAAGAAGTCGGGGCATATAAAGAAAGATTGCTCCAAGTACGTTGCATGGCGTGTTAAGAAGGGTATATCTCTAACTTTAGTTTGTTCTGAAGTTAATTTATCCTTTGTACCTAAAGATACTTGGTGGGTAGATTCGGGAGCTACTACTCATATAAGTATGTCTTTGCAGGGTTGCCTGTGGAGCCGGTTGCCAAGTGATGCTGAAAGATTCATCTTTGTGGGCGATGGAAATAAAGTTGCAGTAGAGGCTATTGGAACCTTTAGATTGCATTTAAAGAGTGGCTGTTATTTAGATTTGTTTGAGACATTTGTCATACCGTCGTTTAGACGGAATTTGGTTTCTATTTCCGTTTTGGATAAACTGGGATTTTCCTGGTCTTTTGGAAATAATAAAGTTTGTCACTTTCAAAATTCTAATTTTGTTGGTGATGGCTCTTTAATTGATAATCTTTATATGCTTGATCTTGTAAGTTCCAACAATGTCATTCTGCAAACTTCTTCAAGAGGTACAAAGAGAAAATTATCTGGGGATTCTGCCATTTTGTGGCATAAGCGATTAGGCCATATCTCTAAACAAAGAATACAAAGGCTTATACCTGATGGAATCCTCGATCCCTTAGATCTTGCAGACTTTCAAGTTTGTGTTGAATGTATCAAAGGGAAACAAACTAATACGAGAAAATTAGGAGCCGAACGAGCTAAGGAAGTCTTAGAACTTATTCACACTGACATATGCGGTCCTTTCCCTACGGCTTCTTGGAATGGACAACGCTATTTCATTACGTTCATAGACGATTACTCTCGTTTTGGCTACCTATATTTGATTCATGAGAAATCTCAATCATTGGACGTTTTCAAGTCTTTCAAAGCTGAAGTAGTACTTCAACTTGGGAAGAAAATTAAGGCTATTAGATCGGATCGTGGAGGTGAATACTACGGTCGATTTGATGGATCAGGAGAACAAAGTCCAGGACGCTTTGCACATTTCCTCAAAGAGTGTGGAATCGTTCCGCAATACACAATGCCTGGGTCACCTCGCATGAATGGTGTTGCCGAACGACGAAACCGAACTCTTAAGGATATGGTAAGAAGTATGATTTGTCATTCTTCTTTGCCAGAGTCACTTTGGGGAGAAGCATTAAAGACCGCAGTGTATATTCTCAATCGAGTACCAAGTAAATCAGTTAACAAAACCCCTTACGAACTCTGGATAGGCAAGAAACCTAGCATTAGGCACTTGCATATATGGGGTTGTCCAGCTGAGGCGCGACCTTATAGGCAGCATGAAGGAAAACTGGACTCAAGAACAGTTAGCTGTTATTTTGTTGGTTACTCTGAGCACTCACGGGGATATAAGTTTTACCACCCCACATCAAGAACTTTTTTCGAGACGGGAAATGCCAAATTTCTTGAGGATATTGAGTCTGGGAGGGAAGAGGTCATAAGGAATGTTGTCTTTGAGGAAGAATTCGGAGTTGACAATGATTTGGTTTCTTTACCTATCGTTGTTCAAGATACAACTTCGGTAATTGAGAACAATGTTGATACTCCTGTTGAAAACATTGTTCCAAATCAAGACAACATTGAGATCAATCCTTCCTTGGCTGTGGATCAAACTCAACAACCTCAAGAGGTGCCACTAAGGAGATCCACTAGAGAGAGGAGAAACGCTATTTCCGATGACTATATAGTATTTCTCCAAAAACATGAGGATGGTATTGGTTTGACTGAGGATGACCCGGTCACAATTGGTCAAGCCATGCGTAGTTCTAACTCTCAAAAGTGGATTGACGCCATGAATGATGAGATGTAGTCTATGAGTGACAATGACGTTTGGGATCTTGTCGAATTGCCTAAAGGTGCGAAACCTATTGGTTGTAAATGGATATTTAAAACCAAAAGGGATTCTCAAGGCAATATCGAAAGATATAAGGCTCGTCTAGTCGCCAAAGGTTTCACTCAAAGAGAAGGCGTTGACTACAAAGAGACTTTCTCTCCGGTTTCGTCGAAAGACTCTTTTAGGACCATTATGGCACTTGTAGCTCATTTTGATTTAGAGCTACACCAGATGGATGTAAAGACTGCTTTTCTCAATGGCGATATTGAGGAACCAATTTACATGAAGCAGCCTGACAACTTTGTGGCTGGAGACCCAAAGTCTATGGTATGCAAACTAAAGAAATCCATCTACGGTCTTAAGCAAGCATCTCGTCAATGGTATCATAAGTTTCATCAAGTCATCAGCTCTTTCGGCTTCGAGGTAAATGTCGTTGATGACTGTGTATACTATAAGTTCAGTGGGAGTAAATATGTCTTTTTGGTTTTATATGTCGATGATATTCTTCTTGCGAGCAATGATATAGGCTTATTGCACGAAACTAAGAGATTTCTGACGAAGAAATTCGAAA